TTGCGGATCACCCGGGACAGAGCACAGCGCACCATCACCTTGACTCAGTCACACATGGGGCTTGTGCTTGGAGGACGGGCTCGAGTTGTCCTCACTGGTCACTCAGACGCTTCTTGGGCTGACGACCAGGCTACGCAGCGGTCGTCTCAGGGTTACACCTTCAGCCTTGGCTCTGGTTCAGTTTCTTGGCGTTCTTCTCGCTCGTCTTCTGTTCTCAGCTCCAGTTGTGAGGCTGAGATCTACGCCACGGCCATGGCTGCACAGGAGTTACGCTGGCTCACCTACCTGCTGACCGACCTGGGAGAGCGGCCTCGTTCTCCTCCAGTGCTGTACGTCGACAACAAGGCTGCCATTGCCTTGTGTGAGGAGCACAGACTGGAGCACAGAACGAAGCACATCGCTTTGCGTTACTTCCTTGCTCGAGAGCTGCAGCAGCGTGGTCAGCTTCGTCTTGCGTACGTGGCCACTCGGGCCAACACTGCTGATGTGTTCACCAAGGCGCTTCAGCCTTGTGATCATCAGCGTTTCTGTACTGTTCTAGGCCTTGTGCCTACTGTCCCTCACTTGCTCACTTCTTGACTCTGCTTGTACTGTGATCTCTATCTATATACCTGCATGCTTTCACTTGTTAGGTTGTGATCACTGTACCTCTTGTTATATTATCAAACTGCATGTGAACTGGTCTTGTGACCACTTGCTTGTGCTCGGAATTTGTGTGGTATCCTTGAGATCCACCCTGAGCTTGTTTTGCTTTGCTTTGCTTTGACTGGTCTTGTGACCCCTTGCTCTCTCCCATTTAGCCTATGGGGGTGTGTCAAACATTATATATGTTATATTTGTGTAGGCTATTGTGGGTTAGCCTTCTAGGGGGTACACTATTCTAGGGTTAGGTACTTGTACTCCCATTCCCCTTCTAGTTCACCATTCTCATTCTAGAGCGGGAACGGTACGCATATGAGGACGAATGTTGGGAAGAGAGAGGGGGAGTAGTCGCAGCGATGGAGGAATGCGTGGTGTAGAGAGCGAAGGAGGAACGCGGGGTGGAGACAAGGGGAAGTGGTGCATACAGAGGGAATTTGGGGCAGAGACATGGAGGGATGGGCAGAGTGATGGAAGGAGGGGCAGCGAGAAGTGACTGCTGGGCAGAGAGCAGGCAGGAGGGGCAGGGAGAGAGAACGAGGGGCGGAGAGAGGTGAACATGGGGCAGAGAGAGGGTACCGAGGGGCCGAGAGAGGAAAGGTGAGGCATAGAGTCTGGGAAAGTGGGGCTGAGGACGGAAAGTGATGCTCTGAGAGAGAGAACGCGGGGAGATGATGGTGCGATCTGATGCACCAAACTACAACCCCCCCCCCTCCCCCGCTCCCCTTCCCGCCCCCACCCCACCCGCCCCACACCCCCAAATCCGATACCCTTATTCCATCCCGCACGTGCAGACACTACAAGATTATCAAGGCTGCGACTCCTGCGTCTTTGCTTAGACTCCCATCCGCATGGGCGTACTTCACCACGACGGCCTGCTTCTCAGCGTCGGAGCACCGTGCCATGATGCAAGTGCTGCTCCTCATCATCGACCTCCCCAAGCGCGCCGATATTCGTCATGCCATCACGATCATGTCAGAATGATACAAGGAGTTTATCCGGGCAGAGTATCATACTGATGCCACGCTTGAGCGCATGGAGGAGGTCTCCTGCGAGTAAGTCTAGTGTGAATGGATATGTGTGCCTTGCGCACAGGGAAGGAGGGACAGTAAGATGGCTGTAGGGATCAAGAGAGGGATTAAGGGGCCGTGTGTGGGAAAGCGCGGGCTGAGAAAGGGGGAAGAAGGGCAAAGATAAGGAAAGGGGGGCAAAGTGAGGGAAGCAGGGGCAGAGCGAGGGAAAGAGGGGCTGGGAGAGGGAAAGAGGGGCCGGGAGAGGGAAAGAGGGGCCGGGAGAGGGAAAGAGGGGCCGGGAGAGGGAAAGAAGGGCCGGGAGAGGGAAAGAAGGGCCGGGAGAGGGAAAGAGGGGCCGGGAGAGGGAAAGAGGGGCTGGGGAAGGGAGAGATGCGCTGAGAGAGGGAAAGAGGGGCATAAAGACGAGAGGAGGGGCCCAGAGTGAGGAGGAATGGAGGGGCAGTTACAGGGAAGGAGGGGACGAGGAGAGGGGGGGGGGGGGGGGAGATGAGAGGAGGGGTGAGGGGATGAGAGAGGGTAGTAACACTTGAGAGTGGGGTTGGGGCAATGTATGTTGTTAGTAGCTGGAATGTAGGTATTATGTTTAATCACTCTAAACACCTCCCCACCACCCCAATGCCCCAATCCCGTGTCTTTCAATCCACCCGAACACATCCCATTCAGGATGGTCGATGCGCTTGTCCTAGCGTTCGACAACCAGAAGTCGAAGTGGCTTATTATCAAGGTACATCTTGTATCGCACCTGCCACCGACGATCCGTGCATGGGGATTGCCACAGGAGTACTCGTCGAACCGGTACGAGCAGTCCCACAAGACAACAGTGAAGCGCCCTTCCCGTGGCACCAACTGGAAGGGTGTGGAAGATCGCATTGTGAAGAAGCATATCGAGCAAGCCGTTGTTCGACAGCTGTCTCGGGCCTCCGGCGGGGACAAAACCCACGAGACAGCCATGAAGGAGGTGAGCCCGTGTACACATTGAAACCGATCTTGCCCACCAATTGTCCCCGCAAGCACCTTCCGCATGCTACCCTCTATAACCTATTGTTTTGGCCTAAACCCTGCCTCTACTCCTGAGCCCAATTGGCCCTCCTCTTGCTACCCTGAACCATTGGCATTCCGTTATGCACCCGCATGCTCCCACACTTGTAAACTAGTGGACCTTCCTCCAGCTACCCGCCTTGACATCCCGTTCTGTGTGGACATGCTCCCCATGTCGTCCACCCAAACCCTTCCTCCCGCTGCCCCCCTTGACATCCCGTTTTGCATCCACATGCTCACCATCTTGTCCACCCATCAACCTACCACTAGATGCCACCCTTCACATCCCGTTTTGCCACCACATGCTCCCCCACTTATCCACCCATGACCCTCCCCCGGCCCTATCTGTTATCCATCGTTCTGCCCCCCAATGCTCCCCCACTAGTCCACCCATGAACTTCCGTCCTGCTAAACGCGTAGCCCCCTCGTTCTCCCCCCCATATCCATCTGTCCATCCATGACACTTCCTGAACCCTCCTGCCCATCTGTCTTTCCTTCGCCCTCCCTTGATTTCCACTTGTCCACCTATGCTCCCTCCTCTTGCTGCACCCTTTGACCTCTCGAATTCCCCCACTCTACTCTCCCGTTTGTCCCTAATCCCTGCTCCCTCTCACTGCTGCCCCCATTGTACTCAAGTGCTGCCCCTTTCCTGCTGCCCCCCATGTACACCATGCATCCATCACCCTCCTACCCAGGCTTGCACGCTTGGGCGTCGGGTGCTGACCAAGACACACAAGAAGATGACCGTGGGGCAGATCACGGATGATGTGTTCAGGAGCTATGTCCTTGTTCACGGAGATGAAGCGATGGGCTGCTTGAAGAAGCGGCTGGCCAGGGAGGGAATCCGCGACCAAGTGCTCAATGTGAGAATCAACACAGAGCACAGTGCAATGCAAACTGCCACTGCCACATAGTCCTGTTAAACGCGGGCAGCATAGTTGTAATGGGCCCAAACCAGGCATGTCATCCTGTTGTATCAACGCACCCGTCAGCACCCCATCCCTAAAAACCCTAACACAACCTTCCAATGTTGTGCTGCGATCCCTGCTTGCCTATTCGCAGGTGCACACTGCCATGGCAATTCCGCCGCACGACAGGATGTAGTGGACCGAGAAGGGGCAGTTTGTCAAAGCAAGCCCTTCTGAAAAGCACTTTTCAGATGTAGCCATAAATCCAGCTGGCAAGGGGGCCAACTGGTACGGCCGCTGCTTGATGCTGTTCCATTACGTGAAAGATGGCGTGGCAAAAAAGGCCGCCTACATCGAGTACTACACGGAGGATCGGCGTGTCTGCCGGTACACTGGCTGCAAACGACTGTTGCCCACGAAAGGCACCTACAACTATGCAGTTGTAGATGCAGATTGCATTCTTAGCATCGTGCATGTTGTCCCGTGCTGCAAAGACTCTGATGTGAAGCTGCTCAATAGGTTCATCTGGTGATGCAAATAAAATTGCTACTGTGTCGATGACCTATAACCTATTTTGATTGCGAAACGCACTTTTAAGCAAACTTATTATTGTCTCAACAATTAACATCTGACAAACAAACCATTGAAACATTGCAAAACCATTACTAAAACATCCGCAAAACATTTGGTCTGACTAAAAAGCTATACAAATGATATACAGATGGTTCCTGGATGATTGTCAAATGATTTTTGGAGACCTGCATTAAAAAAAAAATGGTCAGATGATTTCCAGACGCACACATTTTTGTGACGACTTCCTCGCCACTGCCGGAATCATCTGCTCCACACCCCCCAGCCTCTTCGTCTCAACACCCCAAATCATCAACCTCACCCCGTTTCATTTCAAAGGAGCAGAAAAACGTACTCCACAGACACTTCACCCTCTCCCCAACAACACTCCTCTCGCCATCTTGAACCTGCAGCCGAACTTGCTTCGCAGCCTCCTCCTGCTTCTTCTCCTCCTCCTGCTTCCACACCTGCTTCGCACCCTGCTGCGGCCGCTGATTCCCCTCCTTCACCCACTTCGGTTCCGGGCCCGAGATTTCGCTGCTCCACCTGCAACCGCACCAACTTCACTAGCTCGGGTGGACTCGTCACCTCTCTGCTTGCTCCCGCAATGACTCAGCCCGTCAAGAAGCAGCCCGCCTTCCTCCTCCTCGTGCCACCGCTACCTCCCCATCCTCTTCAGCACCTCCACAGATTTCTCAGCAGACATGGGAAGCTGTCATAAGCTGGGACTGGGGGACATTCTTTAGTCCCACCGTTACCCCTGGCCCACTGCTGCGCCGGATCCCGCCGCGAGCCCTCTTGCTGCCCCTGGATGCTTTACTCATACCAATTCGTCGTCTTGTCATCTTCCCTCAATACCCAGCAGCTCATTTCCTCCTCCTCGCTTTCCCCCGACTCGTGCTTCGCTCTTCAACCACTTCTTCCTCACATTCAGCTACGGCGGAATGTGCAGCCTATGTGCGCCGTTTCATTCAAGGCGACTGGCTCCCCCTCTTCAACGAGGCTGTCGCTGCTGCTGTACCAGCATCTCGACCGCACAATCTATCGTCTGCCCGGTCCACATCTACGTTTGCTCGGTTGAACAGGGCCAAGCGGTTCGCGCATTGCGGAGATTGGTCGCGTTCCCTTGCTGCTTTAGAGGCTGGAGAGCTTGCTCCACTGACTCTGGAGACTGTTACTGCGCTAAGGCCAAGCACCCTCCTGCTCTTGAAGACCTCCCGGACCGGCTCCCCGACTTCTCGCCTCCAGAAGTGCCTGAGCTCACCGTCCCGCTTCTTCATCAGGCCTTGCGGTCAGCCCCTCGAGGCACAGCTGCTGGTCCTTCTGGGTGTCTCATTGAGCACCTTCGTGATACCTTCCTCTCGTACCAGTCGCACCTGCCGCATTTCCTCCGCCTGTTCCAGAATTGGCTGCAAGGCGACCTCCCTCAAACTGTCCGACCTTTCTTCACCGCATCTACTCTTGTCGCCCTTCAGAAGCCGCAAAGAGGCGTCCGCCCCATTGCCATCGGCGAGGTACTGCCGCGCTTGCTGTCTCGTTGCGTTACTCTTCACTTCAAGCAGCAGATTAGGGATTTCTTCCTTCCCTCCCTGCAGTTTGGGGTCACTGTCTCTGCAGGGATCGAGGTTATGGCCCACGCAGTCCAGTCAGCCCTCTCTCTCCACCCAGACTGGGTCGTGCTGGAAGTGGATGTGGCCAATGCTTTCAACTCGTTCAGTCGTTCCGCTATGTTCAACGCTCTGCGAGACTCCCCGTTCTCCAGCCTCATCCCTTTCTTCCGCCTCTTCTACCCCTCCCCCTCTCCACTCCATTACCGCAGCGGCCCACTTATCGAAACGCTTCAGTCATCATCAGGTGTTCGACAGGGTGATCCATGTGGGCCATTCTTGTTCGCCCTTACCTAGCATCTAGCCATTCGCCCCATTCAGAGGCAATCTCCAGCAATCTTGATCACCTCCTACGCGGATGACCCTGCGCAGGAGGTGTTTCTTGCCTACACAGCACTTACAGCTCGTCTCAACAGCCTCGGCCTGCGGGTGCAACCATCGAAATGCTCCCTTTGGGCCCCTTTGGACCTCCCTTCAGACCTCACACCTCCACCGGACATCGTCATTGCCCCTAACGGTATCACGGTTGCGGGAGTTCCGATCGGTTCAGATACCCACATCATCTCTACAGTACGGGACAAGCTGCACTCTTTCTCCTCATCTCTGCCTCTTCTACATGACCTTCATGATCCTCAGACTGCCTCTCGCATCCTTTCTCTCTGCGTCTCCGCTCGTCCCTCATTCCTCCTCCGTACAGTTGCACCCTTCCCCGAGATAGAAGAGCTCTATACTGACTGGGACAACAGCTTGCTCGACCATTTTGTTCGCCTCATCGGCTCTGACTACTGGCCCCCTACATTTGACCACACTGCCACAGCACATCGACAGACATGCCTTCCCATTCGCCTTGGAGGGTTTGGCCTCCGATCATCAGCTGCAGCTGCTACTCTCAGTTACTTGTGCAGTTGGGCACAGACAGCTTCACTGCTCTCCTCATGCTTCACCATCAACGGCTCTCACATTTTCCGCCCCTTTATCACTTCAGACACCATGGATCGCCTTGACTCATGCATTCCTAAAGCCTTATCCAAACTTCATCCATCCATTCGACAGCACTTCCCCACTTGGCCTGCACTCCACGCTGGCTACCCACAGAAGCTGTATTCCTACCTTTCACAACACCTTGACGCTGTCATGCTCGAGCGCGTGCGATCCACAGTAACCTCCACCCAACATTTGGCCCGTTTGACCTCCCTCCAAGGGCCCCATGCTGGTGACTGGCTCACTGTGGCTCCATGTTCTCCGCACATGCAGCTTTCATCCACGCAGTGGTGCATTGCAGCTGCTATTCGTCTTGGTCTCCCCATTCCACACCTCACATCCACCCGGACATGCACTTGTGGCTCGTCATTCACGGATCCTTCAATCGTCTCACATGTCCTCCGCTGTCCATCTGCTAACGAGCCTACCAGGGTTCACGACGTTATCAAGCATGAGGTTCACCGCATCACGTCGGAGCTTGATTATGTTGTGCAGCTGGAGGATTCCCACCTTCTTGCAGGACGCCGCCCCGACATCAGTTGCCGTAGCATCAGCTCGGGGACAACATGGGCATTAGATATTTCGGTCGCAGATCCCCAGCATGGCCCCCCAAACTCCAAAACTGCATCCGTCATCGGTTCAGCCGCATCTGCTCGCGAAACCGAGAAGCGGACCCAGTATGCGCCCACGTTACACCACCGACCAGACGTAAAACTCCTTCCTCTTGTCCTTGAAACCTTCGGTTGCTTCGGTACGTCATTCCTTAGCTTCATCAAGGACTGCAGCCGACGGGGAGCGACACGGCTTCGGGACATGGGTGGTACATCCGACCTTATCCCAGAGCTTTTCGAGACGAGCTACTTCAAGAGGATTTCTCTGGTGCATCAGCGCGAGCAGGCCAGGACCATTTGCCGTCGAACACAAATTCGCTACAGCACTGACACACTTTCCCGCCACCAGAACCCACCCCACCTTCCTTGGCTGATTTTGCGTACCTTGGTGTTGGTTCTTGAGACCTCATTGGGGTCTCAACCTAGGGTAGTAGGTATTGCTGGTTAGTCATCTGATTGTACTTGATTTGATTTGTATCCTCTGTACAAATATAACACTGCAAATAAAATGGTAGCGCGTCTGACTCCAGATCACAAGGTTGCGTGTTCGATTCACGTCAGGTTCAAAGCCTGTATTTTGCTGCTTTTTGGATTTTGAAGTCCTCTGCAATCGTTTTCAAGGCCTTCACTTTTCTATGATGTGTCTTTTGTTCCCCTTACTTGACATACCTGCCACTTGCTTCCTGTCATCGTTTTCACTGTCCCCACATCCTGTTTCTTACAATTGCACTCCCTCTTCCCTTCTTGTTCCTCATCCTGCCATCTCTTCCATCACAACCCTCTCAAGGAACCCACCCTTCCTCACAGCAACCTTAATCCCCCCCCCATCTCTTCCCCACCCCCCATCTCTCCCCCACCTCAGCGCCCCACACTGGTTCTCATGAACATCATCCTGGTGGGGCTGCAGCTCTCCTTCGCCGCCCTGCTGCCCGCTGCCTGGCGCTACTCCCGCCCACCTGCGGGCGACAGCAGCAGCAGTGGGACTGGGAGCGGCAGCACAGTGGAAGGTGGCAGTAGTGAGATGCTGTACCATGTGTTGTTCCTGCTGCTGCTCACTCTCCTGCTCATTGCGCTACTCAACTGGTGGGTGTAGGCTACTCAACTGGTGGATGTAGGCTGCTCAACTGGTGGGTGTTGGCTGCTCAACTGGTGGGTGTTGGCTGCTCAACTGGTGGGTGTTGGCTGCTCAACTGGTGGGTGTTGGCTGCTCAACTGGTGGGTGTTGGCTGCTCAACTGGTGGGTGTTGGCTGCTCAACTGGTGGGTGTTGGCTGCTCAACTGGTGGGTGTAGGCTGCTCAACTGGTGGGTGTTGGCTGCTCAACTGGTGGGTGTAGGCTGCTCAACTGGTGGGTGTAGGCTGCTCAACTGGTGGGTGTTGGCTGCTCAACTGGTGGATGTTGGCTGCTCAACTGGTGGGTGTTGGCTGCTCAACTGGTGGGTGTTGGCTGCTCAACTGGTGGGTGTTGGCTGCTCAACTGGTGGGTGTTGGCTGCTCAACTGGTGGGTGTTGGCTGCTCAACTGGTGGGTGTTGGCTGCTCAACTGGTGTGTGTTGACTGCTCATGCATTCACCCATGTTAACCACTTGTGCATTCCCCCATGTTACCCACTCATGCACGCACCCATGTTACCCACTCATGCACGCATTCATGTTACCCACTCATGCTTTGACCCATTTTACCCACTCATGCATCTTTATTTCTCTCCCTTCCTTTCCTCCCCTTCTTTCCCTTTCCTCCTCTTCCCTACCCTTCCCCCCTTTCCTCCCATCTTCTCCCAACCCTCCCCTTCAATCCCGCCCTCTCCCTTCTTCCTCTCCCTCTTTTGCCTCCCCTTTTTCCTCTTTTTCCTCGCTGCACCAACCCGCACGCCTCTGTTCCTGCTTCAAAATGCACACCATCACCCCGCGCACGCTTGCAAACCAGGTCCGTGCTTCTCTGAAATTTGACAAATCAATCCACGTCCCCCCGCCCGTGCCGTTCCCCGTCTGGTAGGTTGGCATGGGAGGTGGGCACAGTGTCCGCCCACTCGCAGGCACGGCAGCTGCTAGCACCTGCTGGCAGCAGCCATGGTGCTGCTGATGCTCACAATGAGTCTGGGGCCCATGATGCCCAGGAGGATGCAAGCGGGTCAAGACGAGCGCACGGCAAGAGGCACAAGAAAAAGCGTCAGGGCAGCAAGAAAAACTTCAAGGGAAGGCGCTGACCCACTCGCCCTGTTACATGCTTCATGTTGCTAGGGATACTGGCCGTTCATGCTCTGCCATAGTGATGCTCTCTGCAGTAGTGATGCTCTCTGCAGTAGTGATGCTCTCTGCAGTAGTGATGCTCTCTGCAGTAGTGATGCAAATACTAAGGACATTTGCAGTGGCGAGGCTTCATTTTAGTGCAGCTGCAAGTGCAAACACGTACTTTGGTTTCCAACTTGATACCGAACATGGCTAACTAGTTTCCACTTGCAGGAATGGCATAGCTGGTTGGAGAATTATGTACCGGTGATGGGAATCAGGGGAGTCCTCGCATAGCCTAGTGCATGAGCTATTTTCCACTGGAGCAAGTGTGAGAGGAGCTGCTGGCAGTGGGAATCCTGGCTGTGTGCGTGGTGTGGTGTGCCAAGGGAGACGACTGCAGTGGGTGGCTTGTGACAGCAGCACACAGGAGCATAACGTGATGCCTCATGACTCGTGAGCACATGAGTGCAAACACAGCTTCATGTGCGTTGGGTTGTGCCTAGGCCTGCACGGCCCCATACAGCCTGTACAGCAGCAATGACATCACAGGATCTCCAGTTGTGTCGTGGGGTAGCCCACCTGCGCTCAATAGGTGTAGAAGAGGCGCTCCAACGCACTCACGTACTCCGCAAGCACATGGGATGGGATGGCATGGTATGTGCGGGATGGGAGGATACAGATGAGGAGGACACGAGTGGCCATGAAGGCCCTCACTTACTCCGCATGCACTGCAGCCATTTGCATGGGGGGATGGCGCAGCATGGGATTGGAGGCAAGGGGAGAAATGGGATTAGATGGCATGGCATGAGATGGCATGAGACGAGGGCCATGGGATGGCATGGCATGCATGCATGAATAACATTGGCACGTTACAGAGGGATGAGGAGAAGAAGGGAAATGCATGCACCCAAGCAGGCATGCGAGGAATGAAAGCGATCAGAGAAGACGATACAGCTTGCAAACACGAACAACCATGCACTCATGCAGGCGTGCAGGCATGCACCCATGCACCCATGCAGGCATGCAGGCATGCACCCATGCAAGCATGCATGACACGCCAATTAATCAACCCCTCGGTCCACGTGCCCACAGCGTCCGTCTTATATCAGCGAAACACAACTCTCACACTCCCAGCCACTTCACAATTGTTGGTGCAACCCTACAGTTTGCACTCGGCTTGTTGTCCGTGTGCGTGCATGCGTGTGTGCATGGAATGGTATGAGGGCATGAAATAATATATATTTCATGCTTATAATAGTGTGTGCATGATGAGTCATGATGTCGAGTGTGTGTGTCGAGTCAATAGCGAGTTATCGCTAGTCGCGTATTACGCGGTCATTTGTGCCTCGCGCGCGGTTTTTATTTTGTCATGTGTCTCGTGCACGGTTTCTATTTTGTCCTGTGTCGAACGTTCGCATGTCGCAGGTGTGTGCAACAGACCCATCAAGAACTCAAGGATGAGTTTGTGATGAAGAACCCGAGCCTTGGTTTCAAGATCCAAGTGATTTCGAGCCTAGGTTTGTGTACACTTCGAATTACTGAGAATAGTTACATTATTTGTGTAGCGTAACATTTCACTTGGAGTAGGCCCTTGTGGAGGGTGCGGAGATAACTACTACAATGGGAGCTAGACTACGGGCTAGGCACGGATGCTCGTGTGATCTCTGCGTTCGTTGGTCTTAGTCGTTTTCCTAGTGCACACACAGCTTGCTAGTTCACGGGGAGAATTGGCAAGAGTTTCACTAGAGAAAGTTGACAACAATGGTACAATGAAGTTGGCATGGCAAGACTACATCAGAGCTAGCATTCAGGTCGGTCGACTGCCAGTGCAGCATGGTCGACCGCGTTCCAGCACGACTTGGTCGACCGCGCTCCAGCAGTGCAAAGTCGACGGCGTGCCAACGCTGCAGGTTGACGGCGTGCCAGCGTTGCTCCCGCAGAACAGCATCGCACCAGCTTCGCAGGTGCTCGAAGATGATTGGCGTGCAGAGTCTCGTCACCTGCACAGCGCACACACCAAGCCAACCTGGCGCTGATGACCCCCCCTGATCAGCCACGTCGACCTTGGGATACCACCACCGAGGTCGGACTCGCCAACTTCGCCTGGTGGACCGTCGCACTCCTTCGCAGAACCTCGTCACCCAGGTATCCCGGTCGACCGGGCAACCATGTCGACCAGCTGCTCCTGTATGTGCTCGTCGACCTCCCAAGTCGACGACCACCCCAAGTCGACCTCACCAGGTCGACCAGCTCCAGGTCGACGTCGCTCCTGGTCGACCAGCTCCACGTCGACCAGCACTCCTGGTCGACCAGCTCCATGTCGACCAGCGCAGTTGTCAGCCGACCACCCAAGTCGGCTACCCGAAGTCGGCGTCACCAAGTTGACGCCCAACCACTTGACGCTTTGCTGCTTGGCGTTCTGAGTTGTGGTTGACGTCGGCCCCTCCTACGTGGACCACCAGGTCAGGTCGACCACCATCAGGTCGACCAGCAGGCCTGGTCGACCAACCACCAGGTCGACCAGTGGTCCGTCAGCCGACCACCCGAGTCGGCTGCCCCAAGTTGACGTCACCAAGTTGACGTCCTCCGCAGGTCGACTTCCCAGGTCGACCTCCCTGAAGTCGGCGCCATCCTGAAGTCGGCGCCCGTGCAGTGGCTCCCGTGCAGGTCAACATCCTCGTCAACCAGCTCGTCCACTGCTGCAGGTCGGCTGCTCCCCTCACACCCGACCACGAAGTCGGCTCCGCCCAAGCGAGGACGGGGCTAACACACAACTCCCGTTGACACTCCCCTGCCGCGTTCACGCTTGGGCCCCCAGCCCACACGGTAGTACTCCTCGGAGTATAGCTCGTCGACGTGCACCCAACACACAGCACGTCGTCCACCGCACCAGCCATGCAAGAGGGCATGGCACCTACTGCTGCACGTCGTCAACTTCGTCGCCCACGTCGGCCAAGCGCACCTGGCCGATGGCGACGGAGCACCGGTTGAAGGCCGGATAGTGCAGCGCCTTCGTCAGGAAGTCGGCCGGCTGCTCGGTGGTCGGGATGTACCTCAGCGAGAACTTCCCACGCTTCACCATGTGCTGCAGCCAGGCCTGTCGCCGCTCCATGTGCTTGAGGTTGCCCGTCAACCCCATGCCCTCGGCGACTGTGATGGCCGACTTGTTGTCCACCCAGAGGACGGTCGGCTTCCCGGCATCCAGCTGCCGGAACTCTGCAAGGAGAAAACGAAGTCGGCGTCCCTCCTTGCCGGCTTCGGTGGCCGCCACGTACTCCGACTCGGTCGACGACAACGTCGCGCACTTGATGCGCTGGCTCGACCAGGAGACTGCGGCCCCTCCGTAGACGAACACGTAGCCGCCAGTGCTCGTCCTGTTCTGCTTGTCACCGGTGTCGTCGGCGTCCACCTAGCCGACCAGCTCCAGCGACTCAGGTCCACCGCCGAACTCCAGGGCGGTGTCACGCGTGTTGGCGAGGTAGGCGAGGCAGCGGTCGACCTCGTGCCAGTGCTGGTCGCTCCTCACCGTGAGGCCACTCCCCAGCTTGCTGCAGGCGAAGGCGATGTCCGGCCTCGTCGTCGTCGCCGCGAACTGCAGCGAGCCGACCTTCTGCCGGTACTCCTCCTCCTGTCGCTCCTGTGCCTCCTCATCGTCGAAGGTGAGCTCAGCGTAGGCGTCGACCGAGATCGGCGTCTTCGGGGTGCGCCCGGTCTGCTCCTCGTCGATGAAGCGCCTACGCAGCTTGTCGGCGTAGCCCTGCTGGTGCAGCCACAGCTTCCCCGCCGACCTGTCGCGGACGATCTCAAGCCCGAGGTACTTCTGCACCGGCGAGATCTCACGCAGCTCGAAGGCGGACTCCAGCAGCTCCTTCAGCTTCTTCAGCATCTCAGTGCTGCTGCTGGCGGCGAGCAGGTCGTCGACGTAGACCAGCACCCAGCAGGCCGCTCCGTCGTCGCCGACTTTGAAGTACAGAGCCTCGTCGACTTGGCTCTTCTTCCACCCGGCACCGACCAGCACGTCGTTGAGCGCCAAGTACGACAGCAGCGGCGACTGCTTCAGCCCGTACAGGCTCTTCAGCAGCTTGCACACCCGGCCGGTTCCGTCGTTGAAGTAGTCCGGCTGAGACATGTAGAGCACCCGGTCGAGCTTGCTCTGCAGGAAGGCATTCTTCATGTCGAGCTGCATCAGGTTGAGGTTGAGGACGGCAACGATGCTGAGGAAGATCCTCAGCGTGACATAGCTGCCCACCGGCGCGAACGTCTCGTCGTTGTCGGCGCCGTACACCTGCGTGAAGCCCTTCACGACCAGCCTCGCCTTCTCGCGCTCGACGGTGTCGTCGACGTGGTACTTCGTCGTCAACACCCACCGGTTCTTCATGATGTTGACCCCCGGCGGGCGTTCGACCAGCTCCCAAGTGCCCATGTTGATGAGGCTGCAGATCTCCTCCTCCATGGCGGCCTTCACCGCCGGGCCCTTCCAGCTCGCCAACGCCTCCTTCACCGTCATCGTCGAGATGTCCCAACGGTGTTCGGGGTCGGCATGCATGTCGGGGTCGAGCTCCGGGAACTCCTCATCCTCCTCGGCGTCGTCATACGCCAGGTCGTCATCATCCACGTCGTACACCGTGGTGAAGGCAGCGGGGACGAAGAAGTCGGGCGGCCTCCGAAGTCGGCCTGACTTCCGGGGTTCAGGCCGAACCTCCACCACGTCACTCTTGGTGGACTCCTCGGCGTCCCCTCCTTCGTCGTCGTCTTCACTGCCCTCGTCGTCCTGCTGCACCTCGGTCGACTTCCTGGTCGACCTCTCCCCTGTGGTCGGCTCCCCTGCCGACTGCCTGGTTGCCGACTGCTCCGTGGTCGGCTTCACTGCTGCCTGCTCCCTTGTTGGCTGCTGCTCCTCGACCTGCTCCTCCCATGTCGACGTCGGCTTCAATCCCACGTCGACCTGCCTCTCGTCACGTCGGCCACCGGCGATGCCCTTGGCCGGCGCCGAAGGCGACGTCCCACTACTCTCCTCATCGCCGGAGGCCGACATAGGAGTCAGCCCGTGCAAGTCGGCCACGAGGGGAGGGGCAGGGGTCGTAGGGGAAGGGGAAGGAGGACGGACGACCTCGGCGTCCTCAGCAGCAAGCTCACCGACCTCGGCGAGCAGAGGCAGCGTCACCGTCGAGGTGTCGGTCAGCGGGGTAGCAGGCGTCCGACCTGACACCGGCCCGTGCTCCGACTTCCACACCTCCAGCGACATATCCTCGTAGAACACCACGTCCGACGTGGTGACCACCCGGTTGGCGTCGATGTCAAGGAGCTCCCAGCCCTTGCTCTCCCCCGACACGCCAAGGTTAAGGCCCCACCTGGCCTTCGGCTTCAGCTTCCCACCACGCTGCTGCTCAGGGACAAGGAACTGCGCCATGCAGCCCCACACCCTCGCCATCGACAAGTCGGGCTTCTGGCCGACCAGCAGCTGGTACGGCGTCGTCCTCGGCGGCAGCGTCGACCTCTCAAGGCAGTTGTGGACCCAGAGGCTTGCCGCAGAGCGAGGTGCCACCAGTGGTGCTGCACGCCCATGTGCAGCAGCATCGTCCGCACCGACTCCACCACCGTCCTCATCTCCCGCTCCGCCATGCCGTTCTGCTACGGGGTGTACGGGCAGGTGAGGTCGTGGATGATCCCCATGCCGTCCACGAAGTCGGTGAACTTCTTCCCGAGGAACGTTCCTCCTCGGTCGGAGCGAAGCCTCAGCACCGACGTCTTCGTCGGCCTCTCCACCAACACCAGCCACTTCTGGAATTCCAGAAGCACATCCGACTTCTTGGCGACCGGCCTCACCCACACGAAGCGGGTCTTGCGGTCCTTCAGCAGCAGGAAGTACAAGCTGCCGTCCTTGGCAGCCACGCGGAACGGCCCGCACAGGTCGATGTGCACGACGGCCAGCACACCGTCGGCGTCGGAGCCGTGGTCGGGGAAGGTGTGCTGCGCCCGCTTCCCGCCGACGCACGAGACACACGGTGAGTCGGCGCCCGTCGCCGACTTGAGGTCCAGCTCAATGGCGACTTCGTTCTTCGCCGAGCTCCTGATGGTGTCCATGCCGACGTGCGCAAGCCTCGCATGCATCCTGTCCGGCGTCGACTTCGTCTTCGAGACGATCGCCCGCAGGGCCACAACCTCCATCGTGGGCGACGTCGACCTCGTTGAGCAGGGACGCAGGTCGGTGCAGAGGACACGCCCGGAGTACGTTGCCCGACCGAGCACCTCGCCCGCTGCCGAGACGAGCAGCATCCCGTCGCCATCCTCCTACAGCTTCACGCTGTGCTCTTTCAGTTGGCCGGACGACAGCAGGTTGGCCCGCACACCCGGGACGTACAGCACGTCGGGGATGAGCACCTGCTTCCCGGCCTCTCCTTGCAGGGCGACGGTGCCTCGGCCCTGGACGTCCTGCAGCGCCCCATTGAAGCCGCGCACGTGCTTGATGGAGCCGCTCGGCTGCAGGTCGACGAAGACTTCCTTCGTCCCCATCAGGTGGTGGGAGCAGCCGCTGTCGAGCAGGACCACCGCCGGGTTCTCCTGCACAGCTGCCGCCACCGCCTGGAAGTCCTCTCCGGCCTCCGGTGCCAGCGAGACGGTCGGCTCCACGACGCCGACCAGCGAGCACGACGCCGTCTTGTCGTCTGCCCCTTGCCGCCAGCAGAGGAGTCGGCGTCCTTCGCCGAGGTCGACGTCGTCGACTGCTTCTCCTTGCGCGGCTTGTTTCCTCCTCGACGAGGACGACGACTGCCAGACCTCCCGCGGCCTCCCTTGGCGTCGTCGTCGTCGGAGTCACTGCGGTCGGGGCACTCGAAGGAGAGGTGGTCGGGGTCGTCGCACAGCCAGCACTCCCGACGTCGACCTCCTCCTCCTCGACCACTGTCCTTGGTCGACTTCTTCTTATCGACCTCCTTGGCTGGCTTCCAGCCACTGCTACCACCGCCGCCAGACTGTCCGCGCTGCCCCAGTCGGCCACCTTGCTTCGCCGGGGCGACGAAGTTCGCCTGCGCCAAGAGCTCCTGGGACCGCTCTGCCTCCTGCATCGCCTCGTCCTGCAGGATGTACGAGGTCAAGTTGTCCTCGTTCAGCGTCGTCCTCGTGCTCGGCGCCATTGACAGCCGCTTCAGGAGGTTGTAGCTACTCGAGAGTCCCTGCATGACGTGGGTGACGTACGACGCCGTCGAGTACTGCGCGCCGGCCATCCTGATGGTGGCGAGAATTCGCCTGGCCCGGTTGCAGTAGTCGGTCGCCGTCTCCTCGTCGCCCATACGTAGGTGCGTCAGCTGTCCTTCCAGCTGGGCAATAAACAGGTCGTCGGTGACTTGGTAGGTCGACTCAATGAAGTGCCACGCCTGGTGGCCGGCGTCGAGGTACTCTCGGCACCACTTCAAGGCGATCTGCACGCCCGGTGAGCAGCACCGCGAGATGACCGTGAAGGTCAACAGCTGCACGGCGCGAAACTCCGCTCGTAAGTCGGCCTGGTGCTCCCCCGGCGTCGCCACAGTCCCTCGGGTGAAGCCGATCAGTCCGGCCATCTCCAGATGGGGCTCGATGGCTTCCTTCCAGGTGAGAATGTCGGGTCGACCAGTGAGCGGCGGGGTGACCAAGATCATGTCCGGCGTGAACTTGAAGTAGCCGTAGCTCGGTGCAATCCCGCCCGCCGTCACCTGGGTCGCCGACATCGGCGACTGTCCGCTTCGTCGACCTCCGACGTCGCCCTGCGAGGTGCCTGCAGCCGCCGTCGACCGCATCCCTCACGCCTGAACGCCGCCGACTGCATCGGCGTGTATCACACCTCTCTGCCTCGACGTGCCTCCCGCACTGCTGCCGACCAGGTCACCACCGGCGTTAACGCCCACGTCGACGCCGCCCTCTGTGTTCACCGGTCGAGGAGACGCAGGTTGAGGAGGGTGCAACGTTGCCCACATGGTGCGATTGCCAGCCTCCACAACCGCCCAGGGGATCGTTCCGTACTCCTGGGCCCCATGGCGTGTCCTCGCGTCCTCCAGCTGTGCCTCCAGGGTCTCCATTCCCTTGGCGTCACCTACGCGCACGCTAGTGACTGCACGGCTGCCGGCCTACGAACAACTTAGGTAAGTGACCTCTACGTTGACCTGACTGAAAAGTAAGTCGTGTGCCGTCCACGCTCACCGCACCATGCGGAGATAACTACTACAACGGGAGCTACACTACGGGCTAGGCACGGATGCTCGTGTGATGTCTGCGTTCGTTGGTCCTTAGTCGTTTTCCTAGTGCACACACAGCTTGCTAGTTCACGGGGAGAATTGGCAAGAGTTTCACTAGAGAAAGTTGACAACAATGGTACAATGAAGTTGGCATGGCAAGACTACATCAGAGCTAGCATTCAGGTCGGTCGACTGTCAGCGCAGCATGGTCGACCGCGTTCCGGCATGACTTGGTCGACCGCGCTCCAGCAGTGCAAAGTCGACGGCGTGCCAACGCTGCAGGTTGACGGCGTGCCAGCGTTGCTCCCGCAGAACAGCATCGCACCAGCTTCGCAGGTGCTCGAAGATGATTGGCGTGCAGAGTCTCGTCACCTGCACAGCGCACACACCAAGCCAACCTGGCGCTGATGACCCCCCCTGATCAGCCACGTCGACCTTGGGATACCACCACCGAGGTTGGACTCGCCAACTTCGCCTGGGGGACCGTCGCACTCCTTCGCAGAACCTCGTCACCCAGGTATCCCGGTCGACCGGGCAACCATGTCGACCAGCTGCTCCTGTATGTGCTCGTCGACCTCCCAAGTCGACGACCACCCCAAGTCGACCTCACCAGGTCGACCAGCTCCAGGTCGACGTCGCTCCTGGTCGACCAGCTCCACGTCGACCAGCACTCCTGGTCGACCAGCTCCATGTCGACCAGCGCAGTTGTCAGCCGACCACCCAAGTCGGCTACCCGAAGTTGGCGTCACCAAGTTGATGCCCAACCACTTGACGCCCTGCTGCTTGGCGTTCTGAGTTGTGGTTGACGTCGGCCCCTCCTACGTCGACCACCAGGTCAGGTCGACCACCATCAGGTCGACCAGCAGGCCTGGTCGACCAACCACCAGGTCGACCAGTGGTCCGTCAGCCGACCACCCGAGTCGGCTGCCCCAAGTTGACGTCACCAAGTTGACGTCCTCCGCAGTTCGACTTCCCAGGACGACCTCCCTGAAGTCGGCGCCATCCTGAAGTCGGCGCCCGTGCAGTGGCTCCCGTGCAGGTCAACCTCCTCGTCAACCAGCTCGTCCACTGCTGCAGGTCGGCTGCTCCCCTCACACCCGACCACGAAGTCGGCTCCGCCCAAGCGAGGACTGGGCCAACACTCAACTCCCGTTGACAGAGGGTAGTTTCGAGACTCTTCGTGGTTGGGGACAGTGTGGCACTGTTCCACATCACTGTACCTCGGCTCTTGGGGGTTTGTAGGAGATGGGAGTCATTCCCAACTCCTTAACTCTTCCTAATTGTGTGTTCTAAGACTATAGTGGCTGCCATAGTGCCGTTCGTTCAAACCGACGCTGTGTCGTCAATTCTTAATGAAATTGTGCGATATAAATTGCTTGTTATAAGTGACGTTAAGACGCTCTAGATCCAATTTGAATCAGGTCATTTCGAGCTGTGACCAGATCGCTATGAACGTTCAAAGCCGCTGTGCTGAAATCCACCTGCGCAATCTATCCTCCGTTTTAGGCACATTGAAGCCTACTGTGATTATAACAACCATTTCCACTTCAGCACTGTGGATGAGACGCGTTAGAACATACCCTTTCTTTTGAGGGGTTGGGGTCAGGGTCACCCTGGCCAATGAGAGTGCCGATGACGATGATGGGGTGCGTGCGGAAGGGGATGGGCGACCTGTTAAGATAGTACCTGGAGCCATGACTAGAGAGAATGGTTGAAGTAATTGAGTAACAAGAGTGTCGAGATACAAATGTAGGAAACCCTAATTGAACTGAGGCTGTTTAGTTTGTGCTGGAAACTAAGAAATGAACCTAAACTGAACCGAAAGTGTAACTCGCTCTAAACATAGCGAAATAACAATAAAACATTATGATAGATGCCAGAGTGAGCTCTAGCCTACTCCAACACGACCACCACATGCCCCAGAAGAGGATCGGGGCAACGCCCCCACCGATACAACGGCCCCTCTGGCCTCCACCAGCAATATGCACTAGTGTCAGGGATGGGCAGAACGGGGATGAGAGGGGAGAGGGGGGAGGGGGAGGGAGGGGGGGAAGAGAAGAGAGGGGGGAGGGGAAGGAAGGAGGTGGGGATGATATGCATAAGGGGATAGAGGATAGATGAGGGAAGTGAGTATAGAGGTGCGTGTGCACCATGGCACCATGGCAATAGGGGGAACGGGATGGCAAGAGGGGGAACGGGATGGCAAGAGGGGGAACGGGATGGCAAGAGGGGGAACGGGATGGCAAGAGGGGGAACGGGATGGCAAGAGGGGGAACGGAATGACAAGAGGGGGAACGGGATGGCAAGAGGGGGAACGGGATGGCAAGAGGGGAAATGTGATGGCAAGAGGGGGAACGGGATGGCAAGAGGGGTAACGGGATGGCAAGAGGGGGAACAGGATGGCAAGAGGGGGAACGGGATGACAAGAGGAGGAACGGGATGGCAAGAGGGGGAACGGGATGGCACGAGGGGGAACGGGATGGCAAGAGGGGGAACGGGATGACAGGAACGGGATGGCAAGAGGGGGAACAGGATGGCAAGAGGGGGAACGGGATGGCACGAGGGGGAACGGGATGGCAAGAGGGGGAGCAGGATGGCAAGAGGGGGAACAGGATAGCAAGAGGGGGAACGAATTGGCACGAGTTGGAACGGGATGGCAAGAGGGGGAACTGGATGGCAAGAGGGGGAACGGGATGGCAAGAGGCGAGGTCAGTGGGGGGCATTGTCATAGTCACAAGGGCCTACACCAAGTGAAATGTTACACTACACAAAGAAATGTAACTATTCACACTATCTTGAAGTCAACAATTTTTTGCGCGGACTTCGAGATCACATGAATCTTGAAACCAAGGCTCTGGTTCTTCATCAGAAACTCATTCTTGAGTTCTTGAAGGGTCTGCTGCACACACGCCGAACGTTCGACCCACGACAAATAGAAATCGCGCACGAGACACAAACGACCGCGTGACACGCGACTATCAATAACTCGCAATTGACTCAACACACACATTCAACATTATGACTCATCATTCACACACTATAATAAGCATGAAATATATATTATTTCATGCCCTCATACCATTCCATGCACTCACGCATGCACGCACACGGACATCAAGCCGAGTGCAAACCGTAGGGTTGCACCAACAAACTCCCCCTCGGATTGCTGGCCTTAGGATCTTGCTCTCTCAGTTCAAAGGCATCCAAGCCAGCTTGCAACACTTCCAATGCTGCTGCTCCACCAGCCTCTTGGTCATCATGTCTGCCTGTTGCCCCGTTGTCTTCACATAGCGCAACTCAACTTCACCCGCAGCCACCATGCTCCTCGTCCAATGCAATTTCACCCTCATGTGCTTGGCGAAGCCGTGCAACACAGGGTTTCTTGCAAGTTCAATGACACCCTGGCTGTCATAATAGAGAGGATAGGTCCTTACTGCTCCTCCCCCAATTCAGCCAACAAATGCCGCTGCCACACAATCTCCCGTACGGTACGGAAGAGTGCCATGTACTCGGACTCCACCAAGCCCAATGCTTGGTCCACCTGCTTCTTGCTCTCCTAAGCAGTTGGGCCTCCACCAACACAACTTATGAAGCCTTTCACACTTGTCATGTCCTCTAGTTCCGATGCATAAGAGGCATCGGAGAAGGCAGTGAGGAACAAACGTTCGGGTTCAACACCATCCGCGCCCTTTTGGCGCCTTTGCGCCGCCGCCGAATATTGCAGCCCAACAGTCGGTGTTTGGCCAAGATAATTTGCCACCCTCATTCCAGCTGCTACCTGCTCTTCATTAGGGCATTGCACAACCCTAACCAGTTGCCCGGTAGCAAAGGTGAAATCCGTTCGAGTGTTTACCGCCGCGTACATGTGGCTGCCCACCAACGAGTGAAATTGGCGCCTCTCCTCTTCTCCAACACCCTCCTCTGGTCCCTTCACACACTTGAACCCAGAAGGGAATGAAGTAGCCACATGGCCTTCACCCTGCCAAAAGTTGGCAGCCAAGGCCTCCAAGTACTTGCGTTGATGCACCCGCATGCACCGCTTCTCCACGTTCGATATGAAGCCCGAGGTAGAAGTTCACGTTGCCAAGTGCCTTGCACTTGAACTTGTCCTGAAGCTAGAGCATCACCTCCTTTAAAAGGTCAGAGGAGGGTGAGAAGATAAGGATGTCATCCACATAGACTACCATGAAGCTCCTCTGCTCCCCCTCGCCAAGCATGAACAAGGAGTGATCGGCTGTTGAGGGAGCGAAGCCGATCTCCTTTAACACTTTGCACAGCTTCAAGTACCATCGCCTAGCGGCCTGCTTCACCCCATAGAGGGCCTTATTCAGCTTCAAAACTCTGCCACTGCCATCATCAAACCCCTCTGGCTGCGCCATGAAAATCTCTTATTCGAGAATCCCATTGAGGAACGCGGTTGTCACGTCCATCAGCTTCGACACCCACCCTTTGATGGCAGCCCCCGCGAGTAGGGTTCGCAGGGTCGTCGGCTTTACCACAGGAACAAACAACTCCTTGTAGTCCACCTTCTCCTTTTGCTGGTACCCCTTGGCTACAAGCCTTAACTTTGTGGCGCTCGATCTTGCCATCGGCGTCTCACTTGATCATGAAGAGCCACTTGGACGTAATCGCCTTACGCCCCTCCGGTAGCTCCACCAATTCTCACATGTCGTTCTCCTTGATGCTCTTCAGATCACTCTCGATTCCCTTCTTCCACTCCTCAGCATCACTACTCTCCAAGGTCTTCTTGAGAGTTGTTGATTTCCCAGGCATCTCCACCGGAGAGAAGAACGCAAAGGCACAGTCCTCGTACTCACTTTCCTTGTCGTCTCTAACCATCATTGCCGCTCCAATCTAGGCTGATTTGCTCGGCTTTCCCGGCGCATCATATGTCAGCCTATTAGGGGCTTGAACTCCCCTCTTACCCCTTTCTTCCTGCTCAGCTGCAGGAACCTAAAGGCTATCTTGGCGTTGTTGCGGAGTGACCCGAATCCGTGGAGCGCTCGTAGTGCGAGAAGGAAGTGTCGGTGCACGCTCGCTTACTTGCTGCACCTCCTCATCTCCTTTCTCTCCATTCTTGGCCTCCTCTCCCCCATTCACAAGAGGAGATTGCCTTGTGATGGTGATGGCGCTGCTCAGCTCCAAAGGCAGCTCCACATGCTCCAAGCCGGAACTCTTCACCTCCCCAAACCGCACACCTATCTGCGCCTCATTTTCCGCCTTCCAATCCTTGTACATCAGGTTTTCCATGAAATTGCAGTCCCTGCTCACCAAGAACTTCTTGGTGAATGGGTCCCAAAGTAGCCAAAACTGGATTGAGCCGTGCCCAAGTGCACAGCCCATATCAATCCACGCTCACCGCACCATGCGGAGAGACACTCTACAATGGTAGTGAGCTAGACTATGGGGGTTGGCACGAACTACTAGGAGTGATCATAGCTTTGCTTAGTTCCTTGCACATTCACGGGAGAAACCGGCAAGAGTTTCCACTAGCAAAGTTGTGAATCACAGAATGAATCAACAAGGAATGACAACAATGACTACATCAGGCACCTAGCAACTCTGCAGCTAGCCTGGTCGACCGCCAGCACTGCATGGTCGACCGCCTGCCAGCGTTGCGTAGAGGAGCCGCGCCAGCACTGCAGAAAGGCGATCTGCCAACACTGCAGGTCAATGGCGTGCCAACACTGTGGCAATGCGGCTGTCCAGCGTTGCACTTGTAGATGGCAGCAGTGCGCACGCTCGCAGGTGCGCGCAGACGATTGGCCCGACTTGCATTGCTGTGCATCCGTCGGCTGTTGTCTGCACCTGACGAGCCACATCGACTTTGGGATACCAGCCCGAAGTCGTCTTCGCCATCGCGACCTCGACGATGTTCGCGTGCCTCCGCAGAACTCGCCGACCAGGTTACCTGGTCGACCTGATCGACCAGCAGGTGCTCTGGTCGACCACCAAGTGCCCCTGGTCGACCACAGCTCCCGTCGAGCTGCCCCCTGGTCGACGGACCCCTTCCGTCGAGCAGAACTGTCAGCTGATGTCGCCGAGCTCCCCTCGTCGACCGCTGCTCACATGTCAGGTCGATGAACTGCTCCGTCGACCTCCCCGTCGAACTTGCACTCCTGGTGGACGGCCCACCCGTCGCCCAGCCCAGTCAGATGCGCCCGTCGAGCACCCCTGGTCGACGGCAACCCCACAGTAACACCATGCAGCTCGACGAAGCCCGTCGAGCATCTTCCTCACTGTGAACGGTCGGCTGCTTCTCCCGTACATCTGACCAAGTTGTCGGCGTTGCCCAAGCGAGGGCGGGGCCAACATTTCATTCCCGTTAACACTCCCTTGCCACGCTCACGCTTGGGCCTCCAGCCCACACGGCAGTACTCCACGGAGAAAACTCATTCTCGGCGTGCACCCCACATACTGTTGGTGCAACCCTACGGTTTGCACTCGGCTTGTTGTCCGTGTGCGTGAATGTGTGTATGTATCGAATGGTATGAGGGCATGGGATAATATATATTTCATGCTTATAATTGTGTGTGAATGTTGAGTCATGATGTCGAGTGTGTGTGTCGAGTCAATAGCGAGTTATCGCTAGACGCGTGTTACGCGGTCGTTTGTGTCTCGCGCGCGGTTTCTATTTTGTCGTGCGCGGTTTCTATTTTGTCCTGTGTCGAACGTTCGGCGTGTCGCAGGTGTGTGCAGCAGACCCATCAAGAACTCAAGGATGAGTTTGTGATGAAGAGCCCGAGCCTTGGTGTCAAGCCTCAAGTGATTTCGAAGCTTGCCAAAAGGGTACACCTCAAGATATTGAAGATAGTTACATTACTTTGTGTAGTGTAACATTTCACTTGGTGTAGGCCCTAGTGAAGGGTAGTTTCGAGACCCTTCGTGGTTGGGGACAGTGTGGCACTGTTCCACATCACTGTACCTCGGCTCTTGGGGTTTGTAGGAGCTGGGAGTCATTCCCAACTCGTAACTCTTCCTATCTTGTGTTCTAAGACTATAGTGGCTGCATAGTACCGTTCGTTCAAACCGACGCTGTGTCGTCAATTCTTTATCAAATCGTGCAATCTAAATTGCTAATTGTAGACGACGTGAAGACGCTCCAGATCCAATTTGAATCAAGTCATTTGCAGCTGTGAGCAGAACGCTATCAACGTTTGAAGCCGCTGTGCAGAAATCCGTCTGTGCTCTCTATCTTTCGTTTTAGGCACATTCAAGCCTATTGTGACTATAACAAGTGGTATCAGAGCCCCTTGGAGCAGTTTCGACAATGTCTGGACCTGAGGAAAGGGGTGGCAGAGGTGCTGGTGGCAGTGGAGAAGCTCAAGCTCAAGGCCAACCCCGTGATTCAGCCATGGCGCCCATGCAACCAAGTCTTGGCCCACCTAGGGATGAGCCTAGGGTGTTTGGGCTTGACAAGTTCAACGGTGACAACTTTGCTGAATGGTCCTTCAAGATGGAGAACATCTTTGACCACTATGACCTGCTGGAGGTGATGGAAGGAACGGAGAAGCGCCCCGAGAACGACCCGGAGAAGAGCCCGTGGGTGCGGAAGAGCGCACAAGGCTATCTCTTACTTGGGCAAGTGTTGGGGAGCAGTCAGATCCGTCACATCAAGCCATTCCAGCGTGAACCAGAGAAAGGACCAAAGGCATGGGCTGCTCTCAAGGGTGTACATGCTTCTGCAACAGCGGCGGTAGCGGTGGTGTTGGAACGGCAAATG